CCGTGTCTCCTGAATCGCAATTCTAATTGCCCAAATACATACCTGCTGTTTGAATTGTAGCGAATTTTTCCTCAGTTGACATTTGTTGGTATAGTTGGCAGGATCCAGAGCAAGTGATGCTGGGCCCCCAGCACTGCCACAGACACGTGAAAGGTACCTCCAAGAGACCCTGGTTGTCTGACATTTTCCGCGGGCGCCAGAATTCCAGCAATAAGTTTTCCTGGATCCAATCCTCCTATTTTCAACAGTAGGTTCAGACCAGATTTTATTTGGGCAGATTAGCCAGTTCTGTCCTCACTCCTTTCGAGGGGACAATTCCATCCTCACCTTAACAGGCAGAGGATTTGGGTATAAAGGCATTTCCTGGTGAGTCTTATTTTCACTTTATTCAAAGGCTATATTCTCTTACAGTTTGAAATTCAACTGTTCTTGATAACCAATGCAGACCTCTTAACTTCTCCTGTTACTCAAATGAGGGTCTTCTGACTCTGAAGATGAGACATTGCTCCTTCCAACCCTTTTTGGGCTGTTTCTAGGTGACTAGAAACCTATTGGAAGTGTCAGGACTCTGTCCATGATGTGCAGCTGTCAAAGGGCCTCCCAACAGAAGAACATACCTTGTTCCCGGGTCAGAAGGAACTTCATAATCTCACATGGAAGGTACACATGAAGGATTGGCCATCCTAGTCCCTTGAGCAACCTCACACCACTTGGTGCTCAGGAATCTCTGAGACACTTAAAAGAGAGACCAACAGCCCATTGGTGATGCTTGGGAAGTGGTCCTCGCAAGCAGCACATACCTGACCAGAACATACACCCTCCAGCCTTGGTCATCCTAGAACAGCCCTCTCTAAATTACGGGAACAACTGTTTTAGGACAACCATAAATGATCAACCTCCCTCGGGAACTCCAGCTGGTTTTATATTTAAGAACTACGGTCCTTCCTCTTGTAAATTTTTGTCCTAGCGGACTGATAGTACCAAAGATGATTTAAAATTACAGTGGTCACTTCAGGCCTCTTTTGAGCTTCCAAAACTTGTCCTTTTGTGCACTAGATTTGAGAACCATGGAACAGACAGATTAAATGCAATCTTTAATTTCTAAAGAGTCAAGCGCACCACCTTCTGGCACGTCTGCTTAAAAACTGTGGTCTCAGAAGCTGTAAACATTTACAAAAAACCCCAGCGAGATCTTACTAAGCTTGTTTTGTATCTTGAAAGCTTGCCTTGGTAACCGTAGGGCTGGGAGGCAAAATAGGGTCGGACAGAAATGTGAGTTGCCCTCCATTTGTGGCCAGTTAAGGCTGGGCAGAAATGTGAGTTAAACTCCATTTGCAGCAAGGGGCCTAACAGACTGCCAGCCTCAGGGGAATTACATTGGCCATTAGAAGGAATATTCAATTAGATAAAATCATTTAGGAAGTGCACTTAAAAGCAAAGGTTTCAAAATTCCAAAATAGCCTTATTGAAAGTTTCATTGCAAAAAGGATAAAAAAAATCAACATATAAAATACCTAAATGAAAAGACGATACAAAAGTCTAGTAAGCTAGTGGCTTTACTGACACCCCCATATCTACATTTGAAGGAGGGCCCCATGTGGGACCCTCCCACAGTTAACAAGACTCTGAGAGATTTTCTGTTAAATTGCTATGTTATTCCCTTAAACAGTCAAGGGGAAACTAAAATTAAAAATTAATGGAGTTGTTTAATACTGCCAGGAATACTTACTGTTTGTCTTGGCTGAAAGCTGACAAGATATTTAACAGGATTTAATAACTTATGATGAGGAATTTGGCTAAAACGGAAGCTGATATTTGGGGCCTGATTGGAAATTTTATTTTTTTAGGCCGTCTTCCCTAAGTTAAAATAAAACTGTGTACCCAGAGGAAAAGAAGCAAATTAGAGATGATGTAGTTTGACTGGTTGATGAACTTATGATGTCATTTAAGTTACAACCCAATCTCTGAGGAACTGTGAGGAACTGTCCTTATCTTCTCAATCTTTGCGAAACAAGAAATCTGAGGCAGCTCAGATTTCACTCATTCCTTTTGAGCATCCCCCAAACCTCGCCTATTTATCTCAAAAAGCTTGTAACCTCTCTGGGAACTGTTATCTAGACCATCACCAATTCCTAAGATTGAAGGAAAAAAGAGGCAAACAGCTATGGAAGCTCCCTTGCCCAAAATCTAGCATCTTAAGTGTCTTCTCCCCAAATATTAATAGAAAAAAGCTTTAGCTATCTAAGTAGGTAAGCTTAAGTTATTCATCTGCCAGAAACGAAATTTGGATCAAACTATTCTTTCATAACTAGTGAGCTTTGTATTACTGTACCTGACACATGGCAGTAATTTTAACACACTAGCAGTGGAGTCTTTATGTATGTGTCTATATATATGTATGTTACACATATGTGAAATTTTTCTAACTCCAGATGGTATAATTTCTAAAAGAACTGTATTTAATTGGCTTAAAGTAAGCACTTATACAAATTATTTCTAAATATAATAGAAATTAACTCAAATAAATTTCAAGATCACATGATCTAGGAAAATATTTTATATTAAAGCTAACTTAAGTTTGTTGTCTTTAGAGTTATAAGCTTTAAATATAAAACTTTTGTTCTGGGGCTTGCCCAGTGGTGCAGTGGTTAAGTCTGCACATTCCACTTTGGTGGCCCAGGGTTCGCCGGTTCAGATCCTGGATGTGGACCTACACACTGCTTATCAAGCCATGCTGTGGCAGGCATCACCCATATAAAACAGAGGAAGACGGGCACGGATATTAGCTCAGGGCCAATCTTCCTCAGCAAAAAGAGGAGGATTGATGGCAGATGTTAGCTCAGGGCTAATCTTCCTCAAAAAAAAAATTAATTAAAAAAAACTTTTTTTGGGCTGGCCCAGTGGCATGGCACTTAAGTTTGCACATTCTGCTTCAGCAGCCCAGGATTTGCTGGTTCGGATCCCAGGTGCAGACATGGCACCGGTTGGCAAGCCATGCTGTGGCAGGCGTCCGACATATAAAGTAGAGGAAGATGGGCATGGACGTTAGCTCAGGGCCAGTCTTCCTCAGAAAAAAGAGGAGTATTGGTGGCAGATGTTAGCTCAGGGCTAATCTTCCTCAAAAACACAAAAACCAAAAAACTTTTGTTCTATCTAGGTTTTCCAAAAGTCAAACAAATTCATATTATCTCTGTTAAAAAATTCAGCAGCCATAAAAAACATTGATGGCTTATTTTGTCTAAAAATGTCTCATGAAATTTTCATGAATCATCTAATTATGAATGTTAAGAACAAATTATATAGATGTTAGTGAAATAAGAATTTTTAGGTGCAAAGATTACATTTTATAGTATGTGTACTTAAAAATAACTTCAAAACTTTTGGCAACTTCAAACCTTAGAGTTTTGCTAAGTTAAATGATAGAAATATTGAATATTTAAATCACTTTCAAATAAGATAAAATATTAGACATTAATTACTAAATATAGGTTCATCTACCTTTGGCTCTTTACTACAGAGAAACAAAATTTGGTTTATTAATAAACATGTTCTGTGCCACACTGAGAAATTTTCTATGAGAAAGCACGTTTTTAGACAGTGTTTGTAAGTCTGCCAATCCACAGAATGCTAACGTAAAAGAATAAGCGAAACGTCTCTGTGTACAAGGAAAGTAAGATGTATGTTTTCAGTAAAGAAAGTATAAGGAATGGAGATATGTTTGTTTGTTTTGTTAAGAAAGTAAATTTGGGGGCTAGCTCTGTGGCCTAGTGGTTAAGTGTGGTGCACTTCACTTCAGCAGCCTGGGTTTGGTTCCTGGGCGTGGACATACACCACTTGTTAGCGGCCATGCTGTGCTGGCAAACCCACATACAAAATAGAGGAAGATTGGCATGGATGTTAGCTCAGGGCAAACCTTCCCCAGCAAAAATAAATAAATAAATAAATAAACAAACAAATAAATAAATATATTTGCTCCAAAGTAAAATTGGTTACGGGAAAGGGGCAAGTACTTTTTTTGTCCTAAGGAGAAGCTAGGAAGGAGGGATGGCATGGGACAAATTCTGAACGGAAAAAAGAAAGTTATAGAAGGTTTGTGGAAGAGGAACCCTGAGAAAACAGTTTTGTGTGTGGTCAAGTTGGCTCAGATTGAAATGAATCTAATTAAGTGAGTTTTAATATCAAAAGTAAGCTGGTGCAAAATTAGAATTTGGTTTTCTCTCTCTCTTAAAAAGATAGTTTTCTTGGACTTTTAGTCTTCTGTTGATAAAGAGGTTATGAAATATTTTTCTTTACTTTTGAATGTCTACATATAAAAGGCAGAAATTTTATGTTTTGTCAAAATAATTTCCTATGTTCAAAAAGCTAAGCCCTCTCTATTAAGAGAGCTAAGGCTTCTTTTTTTAAATGCTTGACTCTCAGTGTTTGCCTTTAACATTTTCTTTTGTCACTTTGGTTAAATGGATAACTAAGCATTGTTTCACAGTGACCTATGATCCTATTTGACCAAGTGTTTTAAAATCTTTTGATTTTTTCTTACAAACTTACCCAAATTCAAATCTTAAATAAAGTCTTTTAACCTGAAAGTAACTTTGAGAATTTCCAGCAGACCCCTGGGACTTCCCAAAGAATTTGTTCTCTCTTCCCATAAAAGGGGAGATTTTAAACTAATTAGGTTTATTTGGTATGTTAAATTACATGGGAAGTATTGTTAAATAAATGATGGTAAACTTTCTTAGGTTATATTGTGTGGATGAATGTTATTAAAATAAGTGTTCTAAAACTCATATAAAATTCCCAAAATTATTTTTTTTTAAGATTGGCACATGAGCTAACATTTGTTGCCAATTTTTTTTTTTATTTTTTCCCTCTTCTTTTTCTCCCCAAAACCCCCTAGTACATAGTTGTATATTCTAGTTGCAGGTCCTTCTAGTTTGCTATGTGGGACACACCCTCAGCATATCCTGATGAGCGGTGCTAGGTCCATGCCCAGGATGTGAACTGGGAAACCCTGGGCCAATGAAGCGGAACATGTAACCTTAACCACTTGGCCACTGGGCTGGCCCCTAAAATTCTGATATGTCCTGGTATAATATCATATTTCCAGTCACTATCTTAAAATGTTATATGCCACAGAAATAACCAAATTTCCTTGTCAACTGCATTGTAATCAGATCTTTAACCATGACATTTTAAGTCTTTTGCCATTTACAGACAGTTATTATTTTACTCTGATACTTTTGCAAATATGTTTCATCTTCAAAGTTTCATGCACAGCAAGGACTGATATTTACTCTAGAATACAAGTGTCTGATAAACTTTCAGATTATAAAACTGAACTGGGTAAGAAATTACAAAACTCTAATGGAGAAACTGATGACTTCATAAAACTACTAACAAAAGATCAAGAACAAATATTAAGTACATGGGACTACATGAACCGAGAAGGATGCTCTAATGTTTTGTTTTCCCAGATTTAAAGAAATCTTTTCTCTTAAGCTTTCAACAATTTGGTAAGATATAACTTCACAAACAAAGATGAAACATTTATTTTATCTCCCTACCTGATCCTCCAGAATTCACAAAACTTCAGTAAGTATTCTTATTTTCATTTATATAAATCATCAGGCCAAGTTTTTAATAAAAACAAATTACTTTTACCGTGATTATCTTTGGTAAAAAAAAAAATGAGGGTAATTGTGGAGAGAAAAATTATGTTGCACCTTTGTAGATACTGGATTTTAGTCCTGTTAATTGTCTTTGAGATTTTATTATATATCTGTAGACTGGACTCCCCTGGCCGAAGGTATTGCTTTTGGTCTCACCAATTGTCCGCAGTATCCTCTTTGGGAAACAGGAACTGACTTCATATGGACAGATCAGTGTCTGTTGGTACAAAACCTTCTGCTGATCCCTTGTTGTCTTATGCTAATGTGACCAGCTACTGTAAGTCTCTAATGCCTTATGCTTAAGTCTATCATCAACAGGTTAAAGAATCTTCCTGGATTCCAATTTAAAGGATCTTGTTGGTCACAGTCTAGAGCTTGGTGACTAGGTATTCTAGAACCATCATCAGAGGAAAACAGCCCTCGAGCCCCATTGGAAAGGACCTTACCAAGTGCTCCAACACTGCTGCAGAACTAGAAGGCACTGAACCTTGGAGAGACATCTCACAACCAAAAAACGTTCCACCTGAGATCTGGTCCTGTACAAACGCTGGGACTTCCAAATCAAACTGACTACGAGAAGAAGCTGCCAACATCTGAGGCAGACAGCTTTCCCAAGGTGGCTGGATCAGGCATGGTATACCTTTTACTCACTGTTGCTTCTTACCTTACTTTCTCTTTCTTGGACAGACAATATTCTTATTTGCATCTCCCAATATGTTACAAATAGGGGAAATCTTTCTGACTATTGAGTTTATCATCAGAAGCCCCATTCAGTACATGAATCTAGCAAATCCTTTGGTACATTTAACTACCAATCTCTCCACCATTCCTCCCCTAATTCATTGCACTAAGTGTCTAGAACTTCTCGCCTAACCAATTAAATCAACAGAGATTTAAGAGGTAACATTTGTAACTGCTGTAAATACCTCTTGCTTTCCTTAGGTAAACACCTCTGGAAAGGTAGAGACAGAACTTGACAGAATGTGGGCACAAGCCGAATGGTTAAATGCTGTGCCCACTGACATCCTATTGTTCTTTGATTTCTTTAGCTGGCTGCCCTCAGGCATTGCCTCCTGGCTCAGATCTATTTTCCAATTTGAACTTAGCATTTTGTTTGTTATTATAGGAATTCTCATTGTTGTAAAACTTTGTCTCCTCTGCATAGGTCAATGTTATAAAAACACCACCTGGGTAATGGTCGCTCAGAGCTTTGAAATGATTATTAAGGCTTATGAAACTTCACATGAGAAACTTCAAAAAACCACAGAAGATGTTTACCCTTAAAATAACTTGATGGTAGAGACTTCCACTGCTCTAGTACTCTTGTTGCTCAGATGTGGCCTAAAGGTTCCTAAGGAAACCACTTTCCCTCCTACATGGGACATGACATACTGGGAATAAGCCTTCCTGGTGACAAGGGACTAATGATGCTGTGATGGCTGATCAGCAATGCTTTCCAATAGTTGATCAGCAATGCTTTCCAGTGTTTGATCAATGATGTTTTCAGAGAAAGATCTTGATCAAAAGGGAAAAATGTGAAAGATGACATGGAGCCTTATTAAAATAGGGCCAGATCAGCCGTTTCAGAGGAATTGCCTTGTACATCTTACTCTCTTTATCTTCCAAACTAGACCAAACTACTGACAGTCCAAGAAGTCAGTAAGGACAAGAATAGTCTCTTTGCAAGGACTGATAAAACTGGACTTTGCTGATGACCGAATTCCTAACCAATCAATGAAGTGTAAATCTAGCCTTTTGCCTGATGATCGAATCTCAAGCCAATCAATGAAGTGAAACCTAGCCTTATCTCATCTAGCAGCAGTGAACTCTTTAATACAACTCCCCTCATCCTTCCCTTTTCCCAAAAAACCTGAAGCCCCTCTCCTGTAATCGGAACATGTTTTGCATTTCTACCTGGATCTGTGTCTCCCAAATTGCAATTCTAATTACCCAAATAAATGTCTGCTGTTTGAATTATAGTGAATTTTTCCTTAGTCAACAATATATATCTTATTGGTTCTGTTTCTCCAAGAATCCTGACCACTACAGATGTACTACAGTTTGTTTATTCATTCACTTATTGAAGGATATCTTGGTTTCTTCCAATTTCGGGTAAAAAATTTATGAATAAAGTTGCTATAAACATTTGTATACAGGTTTTTTTGTAGACAACTTTTCAACTCATTTGGGAAAATATCTAGGAACACAATTATTGGATTGTATGGTAGACTATATTTAGCTTTGTAATAAATTGACAACTGGTTTTTCAAAGTGGCCATACCATTTTGCTTTCCCACCAGCAACGAATGAGAGTTCCTGTGGCTCCACATCCCTGTCAGCATTTCGTGTTGTCAGTTGGAACCAGTTTTTTTTTTTTTTTTTAAAGATTTTATTTTTTTCCTTTTTCTCCCCAAAGCCCCCCAGTACATAGTTGTGTAGTCTTCGTTGTGGGTCCTTCTAGTTGTGGCATGTGGGATGCTGCCCCAGCGTGGTTTGATGAGCAGTGCCATGTCCACGCCCAGGATTCGAACCAACGAAACACTGGGCCACCTGCAGCGGAGCGTGCGAACTTAACCACTCGGCCACGGGGCCAGCCCCTGGAACCAGTTTTTAATACTGCCATTATATGTGGCAACAATATTTTAAAACTAGAATCCACTGGCAAACAGATGGGATTTTGTAACTGTCTCTCTTTATGGTATTTGGGAACAAGCCTGACCCCTTTGGATTAAGTGGACACTTCTTATATCTTGTTGATGAGAAGAGCTTACAAGAGGGTACTGGATGTCCTTCTAATTTAGATGGTTGGGTACTTAAGCAATTAATTGGAGACATAAAAGTGATATTGGTATAATTTTACCCAAACTAGTGAAGGGAGTAATGTGTCATAAAACATTGGCACTTATTTGGAAAGATATTTTATATAAAGTACTTAAATGTCTATCCTTTAAGAATCTAACCAACACCTGAAGGTTTAGTCAGCTGACTGCCAAGTGAAACCATGTGCGTCTTTCTTTTGCCTTCTAGCCCTCCACTTCCCACCCCTCCTTTACCAGTCTGAGACAGAAAGAAGTGAGTATAAATGTCTTATAATAATTCCAATCCTTAGCTGCTTATAATTATTTATAAATACTGACCCACAGTAGACTTTGGCTTTTTAGCTTAAGGTTTTAAGAGAATTTTAAGCTGGGATTTAAAACTCTCCCTTTTCCCATTTATTCCAAAACATAAGAGGAGAAAATACCTTAGCAATCTTCATTACTTTCAGATAGGTGAATATAAATAACATTTCCAACAAATTGAGTAAATTAATGATGATCTTTAAATTTCAAGCTAAGAATAGTCAATTTTGGGTAATGGGAAAATGGGTATGCAATCTTTCTTCTTTTTTTCCTACACTTCTACATATAATCTGAGTTTCTCCAGGCCACACTTGCCTAGGAGTTCAGGAGACAAAGACCAATAATAAAACAGTGTTCTCCTGGTTCATATTCCACCCTGTGAATTATGGGTTTTCCTGTTCCATTCTCCAACACCATACCCCCTGCTCCACACACACCTCAAATTCCTCCCAACTCTACTAACTCTGTGTTCTAGGCACTAACCTTGGCCATTGGAAGAAACATTGATTAAGTATCTGGAAATGAAAGCAGGATGTGTCCCAACTGCAGTGTTACAGAAGGCCCAAGGGATAGGAGGCATCACTTATCATTTGCTATTAGTTCTTTTCCTGCCCCCATCTGGCCTTGTGAATATCTAGCTCCCAGGTTGCCCCATACAGAGGAGTATAGGTTAGTCTGGCTCTCTGTCCAGGCTGTTTTGTCCTCTTGCTGTAGCTTCTTGTCAGTCTTTGATCTGGGCTGCAAGGTTACTTAACCTCCATCCACAATTTTACCAAATGCTATTCACAAGATATAAAGTTGTTCCACTTTGCACTCCCCATGTCTAATAGAAAATCTTCTTATCCAGCTAAAGAGCAGAATCTCCTCTTCCAAGAATCTAGTATAAGATCCTCAAAGACGCGGTCAAAGAATAGTTTGCTTGTTGACTGAGTGTTTGAGCTTCTACTCTCTCACATCAATACTTCCCAAGAGGTTTCTCAGTCCTACATTCAAACACATCCAGTGTCAGTCTATCCTAATACCACTGACATGGCCATATATGTAATACACATTTGGTATTTCACTTTCTTCTGACAATGGAACTCAATTTTTTTCCTTGGGGAATTATCCCTTTCCATTCAAGCTGTATAGTTCAGGTAGGCTGACTCCATCAATTGCTTCTATAGTAGATTAAAAATGGCTGCAATTTGTTACTCTTCCAGTTGAGAGATATAGACTAATTTCCCTCCTATTTAGCCTGAGCTGCCTTAATGACTTGCTTGCCCAATATAATGTGACAGAAGTGAGGTTCTGGGACTTTTAAGTCTAGGTTTTCAGAAGCCTTACAGTTTCTATCCAGGGCTCTTGGAAGACTCATTCTGAGGAGTGCTGGATATTATATAAGAAATCTGACTACTTTGAGACTGCTATACTGGGAAGAAACTCAAGCTTCCACATGAGAAGGCCTGAAGGAAAGATAGATGCCTGGCCAGCCCCAGCTCTTCCAGCGTAGGCATTAGATATATGAATGGAGAATCCATCTGGGATATTCCAAGCCCCAGCTGATGAAATATGGTGATTAACCAGAAACCCAGCTAGAAGTCAACACCAAGGTCCTAGCCATATGGTCCTAGTTGAAATGTCCCAGTCCTCTCCAGCATCAGATCAGGCCTCAGATATTTTGAAGCAACGATAAGCCATGCTTTCCATGCCCTGTCCATATTCTTGACCACAAAATCATGCATATAATAAAGCTTGACACCATTAAACTTCAGGGCAGTTTGTTACACAGATAACTGAAACTGCTCCAGATGTGGGTCTTTAATTCAGATGCAGATAATCAGCACAGTGAACAATAGAATTTGGTTCAGATATGAGCACATGACCCAGTTCTGGCCAATAATTTTCATCCCCCCAGCTATAGTGGTTGGTTAGGAGATGAGTTTGTGATACAAGATGGTTCAATGGCACACAGTATCTGGAATTTTATACAAAGTGGAACAAGAATCTCTCTCTCTGTAATGTTTCTGAGAGAGTGAGATGTAAGGATTGAAAAACAGAAAGTCATTGTATCTCCTCCACCAGCTTGCCTAAGAATGGAGGAGGAGAGAGCTTACCTAAGAAAACAGCATCAAGAGACAGAGAAAGACTGGATCAAAATAACATCATTAAAGCCGCACCTCCCTTGGAGTTTTAAGGTAAAAAAGTGAATGCATTCCTTATTCTGCCTAAGCTAATTTGATTTTTAGTTTTATTTTGTTTTAATTGAAATCAAAAGTATACTAATTTCTACATATGTGAATCCTCTGTGTCTACTGGTTCTATTAAATATGTCTAATTTTAATCATAATATTTTAAAGCTCTATTTTTTTGTAATTTGAAGCTGAAATCTCATGTAACTATAAAACTGCAATAATCAATCTGGTGGTGGAGCTTTATCATCACCATAACTTTTACTAGAAAAGACTGACAACCTCATTTAACCAATTTTCTATAAAATGATGAAGTTGATGAAGAAAATCCACTAATCCAGTAAGTGCTAAAGCAAGAATTTGAACTCACATCTGGTTCTAGGTGCCATATTTTATCCAGTATAGTCCTAGGAACAGCTTCTTAGAAGCTCTGAAAAATTTGAGAAGATGCTACACATTGGAACACATAATCAAATGCATGGTCGGTACATATATAGATCCCATATGGTCACTTTGGTTTTGTTAAATCCTGGAGACAGATGCAATTACATATGGGAACAATGCATCTCACTGTCCCCAAACCTTCCCCTTTTCCTCCTGCATATTTTTTGTAAATTTGAAGTTTTTAATTTCTATTGCGACCAAAAAATATTTTCTAATGTCATTATCAAGTGGACAATGGATCAGAAACTGAGAATCAGGTAAAAAAATTCTGATATGGTCTCCATCTCTCATTCCCCCCACCTAACCCCAAACCTCCACTGTACACTTTTGGTCGTATTGGCCTGTTTGCTTCTTAGTTAATAGTAATGTAACTCTTTATAAAGTTTTCATTTTATTTAATTCTGAAACAGTCCTGAATTTACAGAAAACTAGGGAGTACAGCGTAAAGAATTTTTTTTCCTGTGCCACTTGAGAGGAAGTTGCTGACCTCATGCCCCATCACCTACAAATACTTAAGTGTATATTACCTACAAATAAGGACATTATCAGAACAATCCTCGAAATCAGGAAATAAATAATTCTCAGATTCCATTCAAGTTTTTCCAATTGTCTCCAAAATTGTCTTTTAAAACCAAAGGATTAAGTTCAGAATCTCATGCTGCATCTGATAGTCATGTCACTTTTGTCTTTGTCAATCTGGAACAGGCTAGAACATTTCCTCTATCTTTCCTTGACTTTCATGACTTGGACAGTGTTCCATATTATAGGCTAGCTATTCTATAGACTGTCCCTTGATTTAGATTTTTCTAAAGGTTATTCTAGATTCATGTTACGCATCTCTGGCAGAAATATCACAGAAGTGATGCTATGTTCTTGTCGTTATGTTTTATCAGAGGCACAACTTCAACTTGTCCTGTCACTGATGATGTTAACATTGATCATTTGATGAAGATGATATCTTCCAGGCTTCCCCACTGCAAAGTTATCCTTCTTCAAATATAGAGAACATACTCACCTCCTTTCCAAGCAAAATAATCCAGAGTCTCATTAAGTTACTTCATTCTGCTCAAAATCCAACATCTTGGGGTGATGTATAGCCATTTCTGTTGTGTCCAGGTGTGGGTCTTCATGGTCTAGCAAGCCTGTCAACTAAAATGCAAGTTAGCCTACTCTCTCCCATGTCTACCCAATACCCTCCTTTAAATGGCTGAATGGAACGGCAATAATCGCAAAAGACACTTTCATTTGGTAAGGGAAGAATGGGTGAGACATAGCAGTCACAGGTCTATAACAATTATTAAATCCTACTGGGTAGGAGGTAGAAATACTTGCTAACCTCGCAGTAGAGTCAGTTCCTTGAAAAGCCTATCTGGATACCCTTGGTTCTGTTCTCAGAGATTAACACTCTAGTCCTTGAGCCTTCTGTGGCAGGATATTACTTGTTCATGGTCTTATGTGGCCACATTTGATGTAAGCATTAGGGAGAATGTCCACCCTGAGAATTGTACATCATTTTTCCAAGTCAGGCGACCTGAAGGTGTCTTTAAGGGCTCAAAAAAAATCAAAGAATTTTGCAGAACAGGCTTGAGATTTCTTTGCCAATGTGATGTCTTCAAAAAGGTAGTTGCCTTAGAGTCTTTGCATCAAGGCAGTTCCACGTGCTAATAACCATCCAATGATGATTCTTTTCATCTTGCAATATGCTTTAAATTTCCATTTACTTAGGCCTTTTCTTCTAATCTTCAATAAAATTTTCATTTCATACAATACATATTTATTTGTTCATGAATATATTAAAATGTATTGTTATTTTATTCTTATATGTATATTAAAGAAGTTTCCTTTTATTTCTAGATTAGTAATCATTTTAAAAATCAAAATGAGTATTCCATTTTAGCAAATGCTTTTTCAGTATCTATTAAGATGATCATAGAGTATTTTCATTTTAAATTTAATATTTTCAGCACAAAAAAATTATAGTAATACCTATGTTCCCATTACCCACTTAAAGAAATACAACATTACCAATACAATTGGAGCCCCTATATATGCTTCCCTAATTCTTTTCTCCTCTGATACTCTGAAGCACCTCACTATCCTGAGTTTGATTTTTATTATATCTGTACTAGCTTTACTTTGCCATACATATATATTTTTCTATTAAATATATAATATTGTTCAGGCTTTTAATATATGTATTTAAGTTTCACATTGTATGAACCTCTCTACAAATTACTTTTCTTAACATTGTTCTTAAGATTCATCCTGCCTGGCACGTGTATTGCTAGTTCATTTTGACGACAACTTAGTGTTGTACTGAACGAACACACTAAATTTATTTATCCCTCCTCCTGGAGGTGGTCATTTACATTGTTTACACTTTTTTTCTTTTGCTATTTCAGTGTTAGTATGTCTTTCTCTTTGTGCACATATGCAAACTAGGGTTGTCAGATTTAACAAATAAAAATACAGGATACCCAGTTAAATTTGAATTTCAGATAAGCAATGAATAATTTTTTTTAGGATGTGTTTCCCAAATATTACAACCCTACAAAAGTTTTCTTTAGAGAACACAGTAAGAAATGTTGTATAAAATGACCCAACACACAAACACACACAAAGTAACAAAGGTTATAATTTCCAAAAATAATTACCCTTATTTAACGCTTTCTACTCTAATTATTCATTTTCTATTGAATTCAATTCTACTCTTTCCCATTCCATTCCATTCCTTAAAAAAGGACATGCCTTGTACCATGAAGTTAATTTCACCATGTACCAGTGAGCCAAATCCTATAGTTTGAGGAACACGGTGGAAGGGTATATACAGCCAGGAGAAGAATTGCTCATTTGTAGGTATTGCATTTTCAACTTGACCAGAATAGCCACCTGTTCTCCAAACGGGTGGTATATGAATGTTCCAGTGCCCTACAGCCTCAACAACACTTGTTATTGTCCAACTGTATAATTTTGAAGTCTTATGAATGTCAAATGCTGTCCCATTTCAGTGTAAGTGTGCATTTTACTGTTTATTAGTGAGGCTTACCATCATTTTCATATGTACTGATCATTTGAACTTCCTCTTCAGTGAACTATCATATCCTTTATCCAATTTTCTATTGGGTTGTTTGCCTTTTTCTTATTGAATTCTGGTAGTTCATGGCATAGTTTGCATACTAATTCACTGAGTGTTATGTGAATTGCATGTGACCTAATATGTGATTTATCCTTTCACTTTGTTTATGTGGGGTTTTTTGGATATACAAAGACTTTCATTTTAATGTAGTCGAATTTTTAAGTCCTTTAAAAAGTAATCTCTGCTACTTGCATCTTGATTAAATAAATCTATCCTATCCCAAGGTCATAAAGATATAGATATATAGATATATATCCTCTATATTTTCTTCTAGAAGTTTTAACATTTTGGGCAGTGATCTTTGTCTGGTTTAATTACCACTATATTCCAAATGCTTGGAAGAGTGTTGGTGCATAACAGGCATGCAATATTTGCTGAAAGACTGAAAGGAGAGGAAATGCTCAGGAGCAAAACAAGGTGAAAGTGGAAAATCAGAATATTGAGGGGAAACTGGAATTTCTTTGATTTGTGCAAGGGGGAGCACTACACCTGAGCCATAGAAAGCCAGGACCCTCAGAAGGCTGCATCCAAAGAGAAAGGATTGACAAGAAAACAATGCTTAGCTGAACATTTAAAAGGATACTTATTTTATTTTATCTAGTATTTTAGAGGTTTTAGCGGAAGTGAGGAAATTCTTCGAGAGGTTGGCTGTGAGGATTTCTCTGGTGACAACTGTCGGTGTGCTGTGTGCTTCCAGAGGGTGGAAGGATGAGGAGCTTTCCCGTCTCCCTTCAAACCAAATCAGGGGTTTTCAGAGAACTACTCTAGGAGCTTGTCATGTGCCCCCTGGCATTTGGATGACACAGCTAAGAGACTTGCTGGAGCCACTGGGGTGACAGAGAAGACAGAAGACTTCATAGGAAGCAGCCAACACCTCTATAATTGGGCAGGGCCCAATATAGCCTCAGAGAAACTCTCTCGTGTTGAGTCATCTTGAAAAGGACATGCCCAAAAGGATGGTCTGATGGAGGGGGATGGCTCCAATAGGGAGGGTCTATGTAGGATGAGACTTCAGTCAGCAGGAGCTGAGGGTGGGTTATAAGGAGGGGCTTGCTGGTAGGAGATCCCCCAGGGATGGGGCTCTAACACTATACCTAACAAACAATCAGAGAAAGAACCAAAATGATTGTCTGAACCAGAGATGACATGAGGCCGGATGACAACTGCTCCAGCTTATAAGGCTCCACCCTCAACTCTCCCTGATAGACTTGGGTGGGTAGGGGGGTTTGTAATCATTTTATCTAAATTTCCAAGTGTGTTGATAGAGATGTACATAGAATTTTCTCATAACATTAAAAATCTCTGTCTGTAGTTATATCCCTTTTTTGCTTCTACTGTTGTTTATATATATCTTCTCTTTCTTCTTAATCAGATTTGTCTATTTTAGTGAGTTTTTCAATAAATAAGCTTTTGATTATATTGGTCAAATCTAGATTTTTTGTTTGTTTCCTATTTCATTAAGTTCTGCTTTTGTATTTATTGATTCCTTTCTTCTGTTTTCTTTGGGGTTATTTGATACACTTTGTCTTCCTGAATTGTATGTCTAGTTTTCAATCTTTTTAGTTTTATAATATTTGTTTTTAAGGCTATATTTTCTCTTGAATAACATTTTAGCCTTGTTTTAAAGTTATTCTTGACCAAAGATTGAAGAAACACTCTTTTTCTTTCACAGTACCCAAGTCAAATTTTTTCATAAGGCAATGAGATTCAGAATGCCAAGAGACAGGTCTCAGGTGAAACAGTTTTTCAAGATAGTCCTATTTCTTTTCTACTGAAGATCACTTAAGTACTTGGACATTCTCTGCTCTGATTTCTCAACCATCTTTAGACTTCACCAACATCGTTTCAGAACTCTGTACAGCGAAGAAATTCCTCTTTTCATGTCTTAGGAGGAACACAAACATAAGAGGTATCTTCATGGACAAGTTCGTTATTGCAACTGGAGATAATTGGCAGTGATAATATTTAATTGCATAACTTTTTATTTTGTCACCAGGAGCACTGAAAGACAGATTTTCTCAATTTTCTAAAAGATATGGTCTAAATCAGCAAGCATGAGTCAATTTCCATGACTCAGAGCAAGCAATGATGATTCAGCAACACAATTTATGTTTTTGTTTTCCTCCTTTGCTATAATTTATATACATTTCCTCTTGGGGAAGGGATAGCCTCAAATTTTGTGGAACCAAGCTCTCCTAAGGGACAATTTACGTAGTCTACCTTTTTCTCTCAAATGAAGGAAGTATTGTGACACGGCAAATTGCCAAGAAGCTTAGCTTGCAAGACACAGTTTCTAAAGACTCCTTGGCATACTCTACTTTTCAGCACTTCTTATTTATTGGAAATCAATGGGTTCCTATTTAGGGCATGATAAATCCTTGTATTTGGCCATTAACCAAGACAAAGTAGAAGAAAATAGCTGCTGTCTGGCTCAGCTGCGACATAAAATTAGTGAAATAATGACATCCAAAGGCAGGGCTGTCATGCATGGGTGGCTTTGCCCAGCTGCTTAGAGAGCACCACTTATGAGTTCTAAACTGGTTACCAATTTAGCAATGTGTCTACCCTGTTGTTAGGTTTGTTTAATGAATAACTTTATGACTCTATACTGTATTGACTTTTTATATACCATTAGATAATGTTGTTTTATTTGGGCTTTAAACTGATAAAAATTATCTAAATTTTAATCCAGTGGAGACAATGATGTTGTTTCTGGCTCTCATAAGTTTTGATCCAAACATCAAATTGTCCTCTTGAGGTGTTCTATCTTCCTTCAGCCAATGAGGAGATACTTTCCATAGACTCACAGGCTGTAGCTCTCAAAGCAATATTGATAACAACACTAACTACTTTAATTGAATCAACATTCATTGTTCATTGAACCAATACAAGAACTTCCCAGTATTTTCCCAAACAGTAGTGGTATGACAACCCCCCACTGTCCCTTAGGCTTGGAGCAAAGGCAGATATTTTTCAGGAGCTGCAGTGACAGACTGCCAGGGTTCCCAAACTGAGCCAGGAAAATCTCCTCCAGCATTAGCAGCATGGAAAGGGAGGGCGTGAATCACCAGGATAAGTTAAAAACTGAAGACATCTGGTTAGAAGAAAAATAGAGAACTGATACTTCCGTGGATGTGGAAACTTCCTGAGCAGATGTTACATCTTTACATACCATGGGACTCTGACATCATACCCTAGAACTGAGGCATATTTTTAATCTCTCATGAATTATCTTGCTTTTATCAATTCTGCTTCTTGTGTGACAAACATATTTAGCATACCATGACTCATTATAAAACACTACTTTCCAATTTATCTGAATATGTTTCGTCATTCCACTAGTTGTCTAGACCTGGTCCACGATGCCTGTTGATTGCGCACAGGCGTTATGTTGGATAAGTTAACCTATAAAGATAGCTAGATATTGACGGCTCCAAAAACATTGCATTGTGGGCTATGCACAGCTGAACCCTGGCCAAAGATTTCTACAGTCCCCACTCTACCCCACTGTCCTCACCTCAAGCCTCCCTCCCACTCTGTCCATTCCTACAGTCAGGTCAGACTTTATTGTGTTCTACGCTTTCTTATTCCAATTTTGCATGTTTCTCTAGTCCACAGAATTTTTAATGATTGGCTGCAATGAATATGTCTCCACATGGTATTCCCATTATATAATACAA